GGCTGTTAGGTTATTGCTGCTTTACCGTCAGCAATGAAGCATTTGTGATACAAAGAGACTATTGTCTCTTTCAAAAGAAAAAAATACAAACAAAAACAAGTGCTCACCATCCTCTCTCTGTCTTCCCAACCTCTAACTCATATTTTTATTTTGGAAATGCCTCTTTAAGGCCCTTAGTTTTCTTACGCCTCTTTTCAGGCAGGCTCAGCCTTTGGGAAGGTATATAGTTTTGAAGGAGAGATTGCCCTTTCTTTTTCTAGAGTTATCGCAGTCATGTGGTGATATCCTTCCTGGTGATATCCCGAAGTAGCGAGGAGTGTGATTTCAGTCTCAGGCAGAGAGTGTCACAAGACCTGCTTTTCCACATGGGTCTCTTTGTGAGGTGTGTGTATGCTCAATGCCATATGAGAAGGAAAAACAAAACAAAACAAAACAAAACAAAACAAAAAAACAACTCATCATAGGGAATTTCAGTGAAAACCTAATAGGAAGAGGATGAGAATAAGAGGGAGGAAACTGAGCACACAGAGGCTGTAGGGAGTGGCCAGAGAAGGCGTGTAGCTGAATGGCCAGCAGTTCTGAGCAAGGAACAGAGAGAGTCTATGAAAGGGAATTGGAGTCTCCAGTGTGGTGTTTTGTTTGTTTGTTTTCTTCTTTGGTTTTGTTTTGTTTGGCCTGAATAACTAAGGTTGAATACATCTCCAAGCCATGTTTGAGTGTGGAATGACAGCAGAAGCCCTTCGAGTAGGGAAAGATTTGACTTGTTTGATGCCAAGTCCAGCTCCCATAAGGGGTCCTTCTGAATCTGGCCACAACTCTTGGCTCATTTTACTAGGGATTGACCCATGAGTGGTCAGTTTATCTCCCCTCCGTTACTAGGCTACAGGACACAGTCTTTACCTCCAGCCAATCTATACTTGGGATCTCTGGGGAGTTTGGAGATGGAAACTCTGGATAAAAGGGCTTCATCAACCAGTAGGAAAGACGGGTTGAAGGACATCACCCTTTACAATATAAGGCCCTGTGAAAAGAACATTTGCTAGAAGACAAGAAACTGGGTTTCAGTACTAACCATATACCCTACTAGCTATGGGACCTTGTTAGGCAAGTAATTTTATCTTTTGGAGACACAGGGATAATGATACCTACTAAAAATCTACTATACCAACTATAATTCCTCTATAAACCTAACCAGAATTGTATAAGGGTCAAATGAGATAGTGAAGAAGAGAGCATAGAAGACTTCAGAGCTGTACTGTCCAATATGATAGCCACTAGCCACATGTAGCTATTTGACTTTAAATCAATTAAAATTAAATAAAAGGAAAAATTCAGTTCCTCAGTCACACTAGCCATATTTCAAGTGCTTAATAGCCACATGTAGCTTGTGGGTACCACATCGGACAACAAAGATATGGAAAATTTGCATTATCACAGAAAGTCTTATTGGACAGCTCTGCCTCGAAGTGCTATCTAGGGTATGATATTAAGGACATGAAGGATGAGTGATTGTAGGGTTGTTAAAGCTGTCATAGTTAAGGATTCTTGGAAAAAAACAGAACCCACTCAAATTAGTTGAAGTAAAACAAGGAATTTATTTGATTAATTTAGGAAAAACATATGGTCCCAAGGGCTGGAATCACAGGTAAGCTTTAAAAGGAATTGGAGCCAGTTTCTTAAAGATTACCAGGAAGTAAGGAAGCCACCCTCTCCTTCTCACTGTCTTATCTCTCTTCTCCCTGTGGCCACTTGTACTCTCATCTCTGCATGTTCCTGGCTTTTCCCATCTCCGCTTCCTCTTTCTCTCCTCTCCCCTCCCCACAGAGCAGCTCTCTCAACTGTGCTGCATATGGTCCAAATAGGGCTCAATTAGACCCAGTTCTTGTGTCTTCTCAGGGATACTTCCTAACAAAGACTGGGTCCTGACTCCAAATTCCCAGGAGAAATATTCGTATTAGCTAGCTTGGTATGATCACCACCCTGGTTCCCATCAGCTGTATCCAGGAGGATAGGGGCATTGGCCCCATGCTTACTCCATAGGAGCAATGGGGGAGGGGGCAGATGCTCACAAAAGGAGCACATGTGGAATGTGGACAGGTCATTGACTACCATTCTCATCTTCAACACCTTGGAGAGGTCCACGGAGCTTATGGTCACTCAGCGAAGAGTCACCAGAGATTTAACCAAGGCCATGCAGAAAAGAAGTGTGATACCTTTTCTTATTTGGCCATTTGTGTGGGTTGAATCGCCCGTACAGATTCCCAGGGGTTTGGCTTGACTTCTGCATCCACCTACCTGGATGGGAGTGGGCACAGCCAAAGGCAAGGTGGAAATACAGTCTAAACCTTTGTCATTTCTTAAATGCAAACTGGGCACTTATGAGACCCTTTTCTCTCCTGCCTTCAGGGAGAAACATGAGGTTCCCCTGGAAATCACTCAAGAAGAAGATGTAAGGGGCCGTTTAAAATAGATTCAAAACTACGGGCCGCAAGACTGGGGCCAGAGGGCTGGCAGTGGAAAACCCTGCTGGGTTGTGATCTCTCGTTGAGAAGTTCCAGGTGCCTTTTTGCTTCCTGCAAAACAAAGGAAGAAAAGAAGACCATGTCCATTGCCCTGAAGCAGGTGTTCAACAAGGACAAGACCTTCCGGCCCAAGAGGAAATTTGAACCTGGCACACAGAGGTTTGAGCTCCACAAACGGGCCCAAGCATCCCTCAACTCGGGCGTGGACCTGAAGGCAGCCGTGCAGCTGCCCAGCGGGGAGGACCAGAATGACTGGGTGGCCGTGCATGTGGTAGACTTCTTCAATCGGATCAACCTCATCTACGGCACCATCTGTGAATTCTGCACTGAGCGGACCTGCCCTGTGATGTCAGGGGGCCCCAAATACGAGTATCGGTGGCAGGATGACCTCAAGTACAAGAAGCCGACTGCACTGCCAGCTCCCCAGTACATGAACCTTCTTATGGATTGGATTGAGGTCCAGATCAACAACGAGGATATATTTCCAACATGCGTGGGTAAGTCCTTGACCCATTTCCTGGTTACTTTGTTACATCCCAGCCATGCTCAGAGAATTTGCAGAGGATTCTTCCGGGACTGCCTTGGAATGCTGGATGTCATCCCTTATCAGTGTTTCCCCAATGCCACCATCACTCACAAACCTGCAGTTTCTTTTCCCATATGTAGGAACTCATTGAAATTTTGAAACATATCATTCATTGACCACGTACAATAATTTCATGGACCTCAGTCATGAAATGACATGTACCCCATGCTGGGGAACATTGACTCGATGAAATGTTAGATTACTATAGATCTGGCCTTCTTAGGACTAGACACCAAACCCACCCAAGTGTTCTGGTAAGGTTCTTATGATTTGGCTAACTAGTTAAGCTTACATTCACCCTGGAGCAGTTATTGATATTTACCTCTCAGGTTAGGAAATCCCAGTTTGAGAATCCATGGATTTGGGGACTCAGTGAACAAGGGGTTGGCATTCTGGGAAAATAGAAATCCCGCCATTCTGTTCTTCCCTCTCCTGATCTTAGGTTATTAATTCCAGGCTGTACTGTTAACTTGGACCCTTGGGTAGCTGTGAGACCCACCAGGACACTTGACATGCAAATACTTTTGTTTCCCTTATGCTCTGAGTCATACAACTATTCAAGGGGGAGGACCAAGCCTTTTCTACCTCCTGTATTTCTTTATGCTGGTGATCCTTGGACCTTCCATGCATTGAAAGGCTGAATTTAAAATTCAGTTTTCTTAGGCTCTAGGTTGAATGGGAAAGAGCAATCTCTTTACGCCTCCTGTTGTATCTCCAGCCCTGGAACCCTGGTAGGCACTCAGGAAATATTTGTGGAATGACTGAAAAAATACTTGTGCTGTTGGAAAGTATTATTAAAAAGCTCTGAGATGGCCAGGGTATAAAAGAAGTATTTGAAACACATTGTGGAAATCACCTCTAGTTGGGATGTGTGTGTCCCCAAGTGGCATATGGAAAGTTGAGGTGGAGCGTATGGAAGTAATTAAGTTAATACCAGGAAAAAAAAAGTGTATAAATTGATTAGGGCAGTATGTACATCTTGAAATATTCAGCACACAAACCAATTTGCTCCGAGTTCTGTTGTTGCCTTGACTTGTTCAGTTCCCTCATGCTGTTCTCTTTCTCTCTACTGTCCCTCGCTAAGGAAGGAGGTGGGGGTAATGCAAACCCTTGACTCGCCAGCGTAGGAGGAAGAAGACAGGTTCAAGCCTGCCCCGCCCCTTTGCTCCCAGCCACATAATAAGCACCTCCAAGGGGCAGGAATTTCTTGGGTTCATGTCTTTTTGCACTTTCTTTGACTGTCAGGGGATTCTTTGGTTGTTGGGAGGAATTTTTCTTTTCCAAAAGCATTACAAGCAACTGCCAATGCTCCGTGCAGAACATATGATAGCAATAAAGGTAAATAAATGTGGGCAAGGAGACCTCCTCTTTGCCCTTCCCCTCTGTTTCAGGGCTCCTTGATGCTTTGAGCTTTAAGCATTTCTGCTCTCTCTGGCAACGGCGGTTACCATGTAGAGTTCGTGACCAGAAATAACATCACAGAGCCATGGTGTGTTACTTGAGAATGAGGAAGTTTTTTTAGTGGTCATCTTGGAAAACAGGCCATCATAAGTGGTTTTAGACTTTGCTTGGAGGAAATCAGTGGATGACGCCATGTCCCCAAAACTAATTGACTTTGCAATGATTTTCTAGACATTTCTTTAGCCATTCAATGGGTTTGGGGAACATAGTCACCTATTCCGTATCCTGTTTCAGCTCTTCCCAGTCTATGCTCCGTAGTATACCAGTGTTCTTAGATTTTAATAGGTGTACCATGATGTTTTTTTCCCCATGGAAAAATAAGTTTGGGAAATGCTGAGTAAAATTGATTTCTTTGTTGAAGGACTTTTAATATGCTAATGTTTGTTATAAATCTCCAAGAATGAATAATACTTCATTCATTCATATGTGGTGTTTCCTAATTTCAACCTGCTAGCTTTTTAAATTATTTTTTTTAATGGACCACCATTAGCATCTTTTGGGAAATGTGAATCTGTATAAGTTAGAGCTGTCAGACTTTTGTTTGTATCAGAATTACTTGAGCCTTCTGTTTAAAATGCAAATTACTTAGTCCTCCTACTTAACAACTAAATCAGAATCTCTTAGGTAAGACATAGGATTTTCACTTTTAACAAGCACCCACCACTCACTCCTTTGTCTATTGTAACTGCCCAGAATGCTTTTCGTGCCCCAGAAACAGTCTGTTTATTACCTCTCTGGTTTTATTCATGTTGTTCTCTCCTTCTGGAATCAACATCTTCTCTATTTAGTGAATTCTCATGCATCCTTTATATTATATCACCTTTAACTCATTAGAATATAAGCCCCTTAAAATTATGGCATATGTCTTATTCATTTGAATA